TCACCCGATCGTTTAGGCATCGGCCCGTCTGTCCGATGTATTTAGCACCGCAGGACATGGGAACCGAATACACGCACTCTTTGCAGCAGGTTACATAATTGGTCTGGTGCTTTTTCTGGCACGGGGGCGTTACCAACGTTTTCTGGCACGTTACCAACACCGGGCTTTGCTGTTTCCAAAAGAGATAACCCTTTATAAGGACAGAACGAGCGGGTTGGTGGGGATAATTAAACTTAAACAGCCCCTTCTCGTTTTCTTCCTCAAGTTTAATAGATAACCCTTCGGTGCTATCGGATCTCCCCGGAGAGAGAGAGAGAGAGCACGGCCGTTTCAAGGCGCTCGAAGCTAGGGCAAACAGGTGGTATCGTTTCACGCATGCACGGATGGCTGGTTTCAAATTTCCCCACATCCCTAACGAAACCGGCCCATCTTCGTGTGTGCGTCTGCGGGATTTCTGTCCCGTGCCGCCGGTTTTAGCGCGCACGCGGCGTTGCTTTGGCTGGCAGAACAGTTGTTGACCGTCGATATTGTAAGGCCGTGGTGTCCTCATCCTTTCAGGCAACGATTCCTTTGCTTTCCCTTGTGCAATACTCTGACTGACTCCTCCTGGGTGGCTCTCACTGTTCGCCGCGTCAACGACACAATCGTACCATTTCACTCCTCGTGACACAGGGTGCGCTGCTCGCTTTACTGTCACGGGCCGTCCTATTTAACACAACGAGCGCGAAAGGTCGTGGTCATCTGCTGGCTCCGAAAGGGCAGGACGTTCATGCAGGCCAATGAGGGCCCCGAATCAATACGACGACGTCTGCCGACTCCTACACGTTAAAAGTTTACGACACCTGCTGGTCTGTTAAGAAGTGTTGCTTTCTCTTTTTGGAACTCCTCCGATGTAGCTTGCCGCCTATAATAAAATTTAAATAATCAATAAATATAAGAGGGTGGAAATACTGTATTTCATTTTTATGTGGGAACGTCGAACAAAAGAAAAAAACCATTTCCAAGCTTGTGAAGACGCGCAATTCGCAAGTCAATTTCGAGCCGTAAAAACACGTTTTTGTACGATATTGATGCTTAAATATAAAACATACAAACAAAATATACACTTTCTCGACTTGATTTTCGCGTAGAAAACTAGCACATCTACATTTGAACAAAAAATAAAAAAAAAATAAAGAATGGGTTTTTTGAGAAAATGAATTTCAAAAATGGTACTTTTTGATTTTCACATAACATTAACGTAAACTTACCGCAAAGAATATTTTATACAGCCAAGTCATTTTATAATGCATATAAAGAGCGTGTTTTGGGCTCTCCATCGACAGAAAAAGTATCAATGTAACCCAAGTAGATCGCGAGTAATTAATTGTCAAAGTTCGTCAACAATTGACCGAGGGGGCGTTTTTGACATTTTTACAGAAAAAAAGCAAAACGGCTAAAATTTTTTTATGGTATTGGAGCCTTTTAAATGTGTCCACAGAGTGCTTGAAAAAAGATAATATAATGTGGACTGAAAATCCACAGCGGGAGATCAAGCGAAACATCCGACCTACGACGGGTGTGAAAAACACTGCTTTTCGCCGCGGCCTCTTTAAATATTCATAAGTCGAGAACAAAAAATCCAACGAACTTGCGGTTTATGGCGACTGCGTTTTTAGAAACGGCGCCATAACATATATTTTTTTCATTGAAATTAAAAATTCGACCCTTTTTGCCTGCACGATTTGAGATGAAACCACCCATATATATATATATATATATATATATATATTAGTATTTGCAGGTTGAAATCTTTTATTATTTTTTCGTGGCCTATACCGGATATGCCTGCCAGGTGGCTGAGGACGAGGTAAGCGAAAAAAGACGCAGAAATGACGCCACTCGTTTTTTTTCTTGTTTTTTTTTTCAAAATGGCGGTTTCGGTGAGGATCGGAGATGCGCACCGGCATGCCAGTTGCTGAGCCTGTCTAGTGTGCTGGCTTCACTGAGCGACTCAAATTATCCCTGCTTATACAAGGAAGCTAACGTGTTGTGAGCGCAGGTCACCTTTTTACCCTGAAAACAAAAACGGTGTTTAGCATAATATTTACGCAAGAAGACACGCTTTAATTTTGGAACGAAACCGAAACTAACCTCCATTTTGGATTTAATTTCGCGGTATTGGTGTTAATTTCGGATTCTTTCATAACTCAAGAAGTATCTCACAGCGTATTTATTGAGCCATAGGAGTTGTTCGTGGAAACCTTATTTTATGACATACGTGTCCGATCCCGGCACTTCAAATTATTTTGGAGAGTTCGGTGTCCCTTTAAAGAGAGGGCCCTTCATACGCCTTAGATGTAACATAGAATATCGTATTTGTTAAAAAAAATCTGTGCTGATATTTGTGTGTTCTTGCTGCCATACCTCGCTCAGATAATTGCCGTGTGAAAGAATGAACTGCTGGCCTTTTCATGGGTTTTGGGGTATTTCGATGATTATTTGCTTAGACATTATTCCCAAGCACAAGAATAGCAGAATCAATCCAAATTTTACAAAATATCGCCACGGCTGACGAGTTTAGAATAGGTTCACAAAACGTATCCATTAAAAAAAACGCTGTTCTCACTACAGGAACCCAAAGACGGAATACGAGTCAGACAGCAGATTATGGAAGTTGTCGTTTGTCGCTGTTGTCCGCCCCTTGTCCCTTCCTCTAAATCAGACAGCAGAAGTGTGTGTGTGTGTTTGGTGTGTGTGTGTGTTTTTAAAGCAACACGTGACGCATGGAACTTCATATTAGGTCTAGTGTTTATGTCTATCTTGATAACAATGTCAGAGTTTATCATATACTAAAAGGAAAACAAAATTAGGCCCTTCTGCAGAAACTGTAATGGTTCAATGGCGTATTTTTGTGATCTTGCGTTTATGGTGGTGTACATTGCAGCAATCTGTATTATTATTACTATTAATATAATTAAGATATTTTAATACGTAGTTTTCCAAGATCTAGTATAATTTGTTGCTTTTGATTTAATTTCTAACGCGCGGAAAAGTACGGCAATCAAAAGTGTGCAAACCATCATCACTGGTACCAATTGCCGAATTTTTAATTAACACGTTATAAAAAAGTAGTCTAAAATCAGTTAATGCATTTCAGCTAATCTGATAAATCTATGGAAAAGTACATTCACTGAGGGTAATGCGTGTGGCTCTATCAATATCGCGACTTCTGACAATCGGCAAAACTTCTCAAGCCGCCGCCATTCCTTCCGGACGAAATGCCCCCCGCCCCTCTCTTAAGGAAACGTATCTTGTTCTTTTTTTTTTCATTACAAATCATTTTAGAACATTTATTTTCTATAAATTTTACGCGCCTTCCTTTTGCCAATCTCAGCCTTTCCAGTTCGAAGGAATGCCTACCCGCTTGCACGTCTGCTCACTGCAGCACGTTTCGTTGGCGTTGGAAACCCGTGAAACAGTATCAGGTTTTAGTCTGTACGAGCGAACACAAGCACTGCGTGTTTTCGTTAGCGTAGCGTGTTCCACATTGCGCGTGCGTGGAGCCCAAAGTTACAGTCTTCTAGACGACGCGCATGCGCAGCGTGGAGCACGAAACTGTAACGAAAACGCACAGCGCTTGCCGTTTGCTTCTATACTCAATACTAAAACTCTCAACCCCAAGATTTCGGGACACGAGCGCACCCCCACTACTTACGCCATCTATCGGCCGCCGTTGCACCGGTTTTCGTAGAACGGTGTTTCCCCCTCCGCTAAGCTCTCTGAAGAAGCCGATACTGCGCCTGCGCGCCCATGGCCTTGACTGTAGAGTTCCGGTAATTGTAGAAGGTTGCAGAGAGCGTAGCGCGAAGGCGAAAACCATCTACAAAAACTCCCTAATAAGGTACAATCCCATACCGGCTGCAGCACTACATGGGGACAGTGAATAGACCGATCTCACCAGCCAGTTTGACTGCGCCACCACTGCCGCAATGCATCGAGGGAATTTTAGTCTTTTTGCACGTGCGACAACCTCGCTGGAGCTCTGCGCGTGTAGAGCACGAGAAGGCACGAGCTCTCGCATGCACGGCCGTCTGCCTCCTGTGAACTAAGTTATGGCGGCTTTACGCATGCGCCCAGCGCTTAGTGAGATCGGTTAATTCGGAAATGACTTATCGCGCGAGCTATGATGACGAGCAGTTCCGCCGTGCCCGCTGCTGAGCAGGGGTACTGAGGGACCCTCACCGTTCGATATCGGAGGACATGCCCTCACTGTAGCACTTGCTGTTTCCGCCGCGGGAGGGCGAGCAACGCGCTGGAGACGCGGTGTTCCCTACTTTGTTCTCGTCTTTTGTGTGCTTTTTAACCAGAATGAATTTACCATCCACCTTGGACGAAGATTGTTAGGAGAAACAGTCCTTCAACCCCTGCAAAAATGTCTCCCCCCTCGAAGAGATTTTGTAAAATAAATAAAGAAAACGTTATTCATTATCAACTCGTGCGAAACGCGCCCACACTCATCTAGGCGATGGACATCTTGGTGCTCACCTTTATATTATTTGAATTTACTTATTTTAAGAAGTTTGATATATAATCATGGATGTGGCATAGCTGTTTAACGCGCATGTGTGATAATTTTAGTATAGGGCATTTTCATACGGCGCTTTTAGACTCGAAACAAAAAAAAAACAAAAAAAAGAAAGCGTGATCTGTTTTATATTAAGTATAAATAAAGTTTCTTTAACCACAGATTTTCAGACTGAGAAATTAGGGGCGATTTGAATGACCAACTCTTAAATGGGTCCCGAAATGTAGCAGACAGTTACGTTAACAATTAGTTACCATAAATACATCAAATATTTCGCGGAAAGTTTCTGCCACGTTTTTATTAAACTGCATGAAGTAAACCGCCAAAAAAAATCGAATAGTGCCAACTTTACGGCTTATTATTCCTTCTAAGAGATTTGAAAGGAAGTACAGACGAACGAGTTCAAAGTATCCGAGGAACGTTTAGAACTCACCGTGTTTGAAGAATAGGACGTACATTGCAGCCATCAACACGATGAATTCCATGTCGTGTTTTTTTATTGTCCGTGGATACGCACAGTCACTCGGTGAATTGAATAATTAATTTGTTTTCTGGCTCGTAAGGATAAGGAGGGGATCTCGTGAGACGTACGATTTGGTTGCGACCAGAATCTCTGACTGTCGCGTTTGCATCGGTAACGGATGTGACCGGGAAAGTTGTCCGAACAATGGAATCGTTTCCCATTACATCGCTGACACCGTGTATGATTTCGCTGACGTCGCTGGAGCACGAGACTTGTTTATAGTCTCTTTTTCCGGAATGAAATCTCCAGTTCACGCTGCGGCCCCAAAGGTCTTGGATAGGATGGTGCGGTGTTGTCAGTTTTCGGTGTTTAGCGATAGCCCGTACGATTAAATTGCGACAATGAATATAAATCGTGTTCGAGAAATACACCGTCACGCAACGCAGTGTTGCCAGATTGAAAAGGAGTTCTCCACAGCAGGGTCTGGTGTAAAGGGTAGGCGATTGATTGGTCTAACAAGCACGGAGCTTTCACTCGTGGAGATGAAAAGCCTGTCTTCATTCTCCTTCTGCCCGGGGCCTATAGACGCTTTACACACGCGCCAAATTACAGCCGCCATTGCTGACCTTCTCTTGTCTTACCGAGATGCCGAGCAACTGAAACGGTACTTAACGATCCTCTACAAAGGCCGATGCTTTAGAAAAGGACACAGTTGAGTCTAATATGGCAATAACCTGGCCTGCTATGGTAATGATGAAGTGAAATAAACGAAATAAGAGGAAACAAAAACTGAAGGTCAGTTATGGCGGCGGCCATGCACAGCTGCTGCAAAGCGTCTATACATTTCACTGTGATCGTGAATGGAGGACTATGACGTCAATTTGCTCGCGTGTGCTCGCGCACACCGGCGGCTGCTGGCTCGTGTAAAGAACGTGCGCCATTCATAATGGGCACCAAAATGTTTGGTTCAGTGTCCCTTCAACTTGGTAGACACATGCCAAATGCCTGACACTGAAAAAAGAACGAAGAAGACAAGAGCGCCTTAGCACGCGATCGCGCGCGCAAGGCAGCGGTTACCACCATCCAAAGAACCACCCGCGCCGGGCCCGAACAGTTCCAACGGCCTGCTGTGCTGGACTCCACGCCGGTCAGCGCCTCGCATGCGAGCTCCATCGAAGCCCGCGCCGTCGCTCAACCTAAGAGCCCATCGCGGAGCGCCAGCACAGCAAGAGCGATGGACACCGTGGGGGCTTACAGGAGCTCGCTCTACCAACGCAGCGAGAGCCTTCTTCAACCGGCGACGCATCCTAACGACGCGCTGCGGACCAAGCCGCTCTTCTCGCCGGGAAGCAGTCCTGCTCAGATCCTGGTCGGTCTGAACGCTCTTTCACTCCTGGTCGTCATGAGCTGGGTGGTCTTCGCGAGGATACGCCGCAGGGTGCTGAGTACGGTCAATCACTTCCTCGGTGTCTACCTCCTGCCGCCGATGGACTTTGGGGAGCTGCCGGGGCCTCAGGATGACGCGGTCAAAACATCCAAGCTAGTCGTCTCCAAGAAGGAGCTCGAGGAGCTCGTGGAAGTCGACTGGCAAGAGGACTGGGACGTCGGGAACGGCCTCGGCGATTCCCAAAAGGCTGTATTCGATGATGACACCGATTTGGACGACTACGAGGTGATCTTAGGCGATGACGCAGCCGACAACGAACTCCACGCCGACTAAATTATATACTGACTTCCGGATATAATAAGCGTGTGAAGAAGAAAGAAAAGCCTAGATGGTCTCTCCAGTGAGGCGCGTTAAATTAATAGTTAAAATTTTCGCTAGCTAAATAAATAAAGTAATGAAGACGTACGTGTCATTGTCACTCCTTGATATCACCTCAGCAAGTTTTTTTTTTTTTTTTTGTTCTGCTAGTTCTTTTTTTTTTTTTTTTATCAGGCGACGAAAACAAAAAAAGGATGCTCTTTGCCCAGCGGCCCAACGCAGCAGCGACCTTGAGCCCGTGCCCGGTTCTTCCCGGCGAAAAAGAGAAAGAAAATATGCTTTCTCACCGCCCACGAACATCTTTCGTACCGTCTCGTCGCCGTCGCAATACAATTCAGATTCTAAATAGTGATACGCGTCTGCCCAGCGCTCGACTAATCTAAAGATATGATTTAATTTTGTTTGTTTGTGCGTCGACGTTAGCTTCTCGCCGTTCCGCGGCTCCGAACCCCGTTTCCTTCAAACTGCGGCAGTGGTCTTCGCCGAGCGGGAGGCGTTGCCTACGCTTCCTGAAAGACCCCGAGTTCTTGAGGAGCTCCGCACCAAGTCTCGACCCACGCAAGCGGCCCCGTTTTATAGCCATGAGCAAGTCTGACCGGAAGACCGGTGAGCCTCATGACGCCAAGGACGATGCTGACAGGGCGACTGCGCTGCTCAAGTCAGCTTCCGCGGGGGTCGGCGCGAGACCCAGGTCTTCGCGACCAAGTATTCCGAAGACCAGCTCCAAGTCGCGAGCAAGTGCTCCGCGACGTGGAGGCGGTGGCGGCGGCAGCTCCGGCGGCGACGGCAAGTTCGGTCGGGCTTCTGCAGCAGCCACCAGTTTTCTACAGAAGGCTGACAAGTCTGGCGCTTTTAACTCGCTTTTAAAGAGGGCGCAGAGACGACGCGGCGGTGGCAACGCTGGTGACCGTTCCGCGGGCAAGCAAGTCCCGTCTGACGGGAGCGACTGCAACGAACGCGCTGACGTCAGCGGTGACAAAGTCGTCGAAAAAATCGGCCATGTCAAGAGCAGGCCCGTCGCCTCGGCCGCCACTGCAGTGGACACCGACGACACTACGGAAGATGTGGTTGCACTTCGAAGTCAAGTAAGGAGGAACAAGACTGAGGATGACGTTGCAGAATACACCATCCTCACCAGACCCAGCAAGCAGGGGGCTTGTTCGTCCGCCGACGCTTCAACCACAGCCCCATCGGCGACGCATGACGTCGTTTATGAACACTCACAGGAGGCACCTGGACCCTTTCGAGACCCGCGATGCAAAGGCAAGATTCGACACGCACCAAGTGGTCGCCCTGACTACCATTGCTCTGACACTAGCCCAAGGCCTCCATTTTCGTACTCGGGATCACAGCCAGAAAGCTGCCCCATCCCGTTCTCTTCTCCGTATGATACTCACCCGATTTCACCAATGTTCCCAATGTATGCTTCGAACGAAGAACTGTCATACCCAAGGTACGATACAGCCTTTATACCGCAATCGTTTCCATCCTCCCCGCAGTATTTTCCGTACCCCCCGTTGCCACCGCCTCCCTCACCCAATATGTCACCGTCGTACCCGCCCATCAACGTGGTGCCGCCATTTCCGTCTCAGAGCTTCTGGACAGACCGGTACGGTCCACCCAACAGCAGGCGGAGGTCCAAAAGCTCGTGCTACACACGCCGACCCCCAGAGGGCAGGCTTTATGACTCCCACGGCCGCTGGATAGGTAATGAAAGTAAGCAGCCAGGCAGGGGGCTCCTGATCGCAGAAAGTACCCCGTGCGAAATATGCGGTGAAGAGGAGCTCCAGAAAACCAGTGTCAAGGAAGGATTCGTGTCCAGCGGAAGCGGTCAAGAGCTGGCAAATAACAGGACACGAACGCTGCAGAACTTTGCGCGCCGCCACTCTTCTGCGTCTTGGTCCGCGTCCACGGTTCCAGAAGACGATATCGAGGACCTCCTTCCGCTCATCGATCAGCTGGCCATAGAATACCCGACGTCTGACTCTTCGACGGAAAGCGCGGCCGAACCACAGATGCCAGAGGAGGACGCTTGGTTCTCGGTTCTGCCGGAAACCACGAGGCCCGAAGACCGCTTTATCTGGTCGCCGAGGAGGGACCTGCACCGTCCGAAGTCCATCTGGTCCCCGATCAAGCCGAGACTGGGCAGCTGTCCTGATGATAGTCTCAAGGAAGCGCTTGCCAGGATGAAATACCGGTCGAGGACGTACACCGAGAATTTTTCTTCGAGGAATCAAGAGTCTCCAGTCGAAGAAAGACGCCGAGCAATCTCCTGCGAACTTCCGAGGTCCGACCGAGAGGCACGCGACGAGTTTCAGCCGTCTGGGGACGGCTGGTCACCGTGGAGCTGCCAACTCCCGACCGCGGACTCGCTGAACAAGTAGCGCGTGTGCTCGCTGTCACGACTGGCGTCCAACCCATAAGAACATGCGAAGGCGACTCTTAATTTACGCATCTTTTTCGCACCCTCTTATCTCTTCTTGTTATCTTCTTCATTTCTTTAATCGCAAGCGCTGAGATGTAGCGCTTCGTTTTGTGACCAATCTTTCCCAAGACTGATTTAAATTAAAATATATTTGAACTCATCGAAACTCAATGGCGTCTTACGTATTTTTCATGCGGCAGTTTTAACTCGGGAAATATTTTGGAATCGAGAGTGGCAGATGTTTCTAGAATGCAGAGGGCACAAAGCGATACGGCTAATCTATGCACTGAAAGACATTATGACTGACGCAGCTTCTTTCCGGCACCAACTTGATCCAATTACAGCACCTTATTTCCCCTCAACGGTTCATGTTGCAGCCCGGGCCCAGGGCCATTTCAAAATACGTTTGCGAAACTGATGTTACTTTATGACTCGCCAGACGACTAAGCACACTGCAACCGGATAGCACATTTCCTTGGAGATGTAGAACGTCAGACGCTTACAGAGCCCATCGCGCGTGTGACCAGAGCGGACTCGCTCCCGTACGGTAGCACTGCTATCGTCGCCGCCTGCAGCTTGCGAGGGTTTTGAGAGTGAGGGAGAACTTCGCACCTGTCCAACACGTTCTAAAAACTAAAGCCTGCACGCTTCGCTTTATGACGTCAGCTACGTCACATCACCTAGGCCAAGCAACGAGAGCAGGCATGAGTATCTTCACAACCGAGCACTTGCGAGGATGCTGATTGTGCTCGCTCTATTGCCCAAACGCACCGCATGTTTGAGCATAGTTACAGTGGCGCACAAAAGGACCGGGATAAAAAAGAGGGACACG